CCGACTCCCCAACGAGCAGACCCACCACCCGAGGGCAGCCCGCCGCGCGGGAGGTTGCCATGCCGCAGACGCCGGGAGTCCTGGTCCCGAAGGTCCACACGGTGGTAAACGACCGCTGTGGGAAAGGCGTCTCTACTTCACCGCCTGCCGGAGGAACCAGCAGCACCAGCCCATCAGCCTTCTCCGCGTTTGGGAGAGTCTGGCTTCCAGAAAGCGGAGCCCCGGAATTCGACCGCACAAGCCGGGCGCGAAACCCCACACACTGCCTCCGGCGCGGCCGGCACTTCCGGCGTGGGAGGGTGAGGGGCGGCCTGGGGATTCTGGGAAGTGCAGTGCGGGGACCCTGGGCGGTGGGATAACTTCCGCTGCAGCCGGCTGCGGCCGCGTCCTGCTCCCGTCGGGAATTCTGGGAAGCGTAGTCCAGACGGGCTCTGCAGGCAGAGGCGCTTCCGGCCCAGGTATGCGCGGCCGCGGCCTTAGCTGCTCTCAGAAAGGTGAGCCCTCCCCTCGGCGCGTCCCCTCCCGGCGCCCGCGTACAGCGCTCTGCGTTTCGCTCCGGGCCAGTAGCGACCTGGCGGTCGACCTGCGGGAAGAGTCCGCCTTCGGCGAAGGGCGGGGTTTGCGTTCCCTCCAAAGAGCCTTCTCGAGTGGCCGGCGGTTGGCGTATCCCGCGCGCTGGGCCCGCACCGGGGTCGTGCGTCCTTGGGGGTCGCGGGTCTCCTCGGTTCTGCACCCCCCGCTCCAGCCCCTTTCCTGGCCACAGCCAGCTGTGCCACCTCCCAGAGGTGTATTTGGCGAGTATCCAATCTCTGCCTCCGTTTTCTCTTCTTTAAAATGAGTGGTTTTAAGAGTTGAATAAAAAGACTGACAACAGACCTGGCACGGGGCAGGAGACGAGCATCACTGATAACATTTGTTGTTGGACTTCTTTTTAACTTCCAGAAACACAGTTCGCTGAAAGCTCCAGGGAAGCTAGGAAGGGGTCAGAGCTCCAGTTGTAGTGTCCCTGGCCCCTCTCGGATCCCAGAAGGAACCCGGGCTCTACCCGAATGCCTAGGAATCTCTCCCCACCCGGCCCCCCACCCCTGGCTGTTGTCTGGGATGTCCACTGGAAGTTATGGGGGAGTTCTGATTTCTCCCAGCCTCCTTTCCTTCCTCAACCTAGACTTAACAAAAGGTGAGGGGAAAAGTCGGGAATGATCCTTTGGCCTGGCAGAGTCTCACCTGAGTAGAATTTAGCATCCTTCCTTCTCCCGAGTTCGCTCTTCTCATGGGAGAAGGGATTTCCTTTGGCAAATCTACAGAACAGCTCTAATATTTGTTGAATACATGCAGAAAGGGGTGGTGGGTTTCAGTTGTAAAGATAGCATAAACATGTAGTGCTAAATATCATTCTAAGAGTTTTATATGAATCAACACATTTAATCCTCACAGCACTATGTGGGGGAGGAGGGCTGTCATTATCATTGAGACACAGCTTAAGTTGTTAATTCTGGTTCCTAGCTAGCAAGAGACTGAGCTGGGATTTGAATTTAGATAGTTTCAATTCTTTTCCTTAGTTCTTGATTGTATTTTCCTATCAGACTGAGAAGGTGCATTTGGATTTTTGTAGAGGGTCACAAAAGCTATGTCAATGAGCTATGACTTTTTAAAAATATTTATTTTTTAGCTGTAGATGGACGCAATACCTTTATTTATTTTTATGTGGTGCTAACTATGGAATCCAGTGCCTCATGCATGCTAGGTGAGCTCTCTACCTCTGAGCTACAACTCCAGCTCAAGTTATGTCTTTTTGATGTGATTATTTTAGTTATCTGCAATTTAATTATATTTTATATGAAATCTTTATAGTTCACATTCTGATTATAGAAGCACTGTAGTTTGTCTTTTTGAGAATGTTATATGTATGAACTAATACTTATATACTTGAATCTGGATTCTTTTAGCAAATCACCTTTGACATGTATCCAAGTTATTCTGTGTATGAATACTTCATTTTTATTCATTGCTGTATTTTGTGGATATACCACAGTTTATTCTTTTACCTTTTCATTGGTATTTTTTATTCAGTTTTAAGCACTTATGAATAGATATGCTGTAAACATTCATGTACAGGTTTCTGTGCTTATTTCTCTGAGGTATATATATTTAGGAGTGGAGTTACTGGGTCATATGGAAAGTGTATATTTAAATTTATAAGAAGCTACCTCACTTCAGAATATCTGTACTATTTTGTCTTCCCATTAGTAAGATATGGGAGTTCTAGTTATTCCACATATTCACCAACACTTAATATTGTCTTTAAATCTTAGCCATTCTAATAGTTGTGTATCGTTATTGCATTGTGATTTTAATTACATTGTGACTTTCTCTGATGGTTAATGATCATCAGATCTATCTTTTCCTTTGCTTATTTGCCATTTTTATATCTTCTTTGCTAAAGTGTTTATCCATATATTGTGTCCATTTTAAATTGAGTTGTGTTTTCTTTATACATGAATAACTAACTATCCAATACCATTTGTTTGGTTTGTTTTTGTACTTCCTTTTATTAGATTGATCTGTATGTCCCTTCAATATTTCCAAGCTATCTTAATTATTATAGCTAGATAGTAGGTCTCAAAAATGGATAGTTTAATTCCTCAGTTTTTCCAGTGAAAATCATTTTATCTATTCTGGTTTCTTTGCCTTCCTGTGTATGCTTTAGAATAGCTTGCCTATATCTACAAAAAAATTCATCTGGTATTTGATTGGTGCTGAATTAAAATACAAATTTTTCATATCAGCATTTCATGTTTTTCTGCATAAGGAGCCTAAGCATGTTTTGTTTAGACTTATTCCTAAGTATATTATGAATTCTTTTGGAGTTACTGTAAGTTGTATTGTTATTAAATTTTGGTTTTCAGTGGCACATTGTTAGTGTAAGAAATGTGATTTTTGCATCTACCTTGTATTCTTAGACTTTGCTAAACACACCAGAAGGTTTTCTTCTTCTTCTTCTTCTTCTTCTTCTTCTTCTTCTTCTTCTTCTTCTTATTATTATTATTATTATTATTATTATTGGTAAATGGGGATCTTCCACTAGATAATCATGTTGTATATGAATAGGATTAGTTTTCTTTCATGCTTTGTAATCTATATGCGTTGGCTGGTTTTTAGTGCCTTGTTGATGAGTAGGAGTGGTTTGAATGGACACCACTGTCTTGGTCATAGGAAAGGCATTTTTAGAAATTCCCTTATGTTTTTAGTTTTGTGAAAGCTTTGTTACAAATAAATGTTGTATTTTCTCAAGTGCCTTTTCTGCATCTGATAACATTTTTCTTCTTCCTTAGAATGTTTGATTAGGTTGATGAATGATAAGCACACTTTCTACTACTGAGCTAAACCCCCAAACCTGTTCTTTTATTCTTGATTTTGGTAATTGGTGTCTTTTCTTTTTTATTCTTTGTCAGTATGGCTAGATTTTTAATTTTTATTGTTATTTTTTTCTCCCAAAGAACTCCCTGTGGGTTTAATTGATTTTATCTGGGGTTCAACAGAATTTTTCTTCAAAGTCTGAGATTATAAATGTTTTAGCTTTTCCAGTCAATTGGCAAAATCAATGCTTTATTTAGAGATAAATCTTAAGCTAGTGTGGTGGCACATGCCTGTAATCTCAGTGGCTTGGGAGGCTGAGGCAGGAGGATTGCAAGTTCAAAGCCAGCTTCAACAAAAAAGGTGAAGTGCTAAGGAACTCATTGAGACCCTTGTCTCTAAAATAAAATATAAAATAGGGCTGAGGTTGTGACTCAGTGGTCGAGTCCCCATGCATTCTTGGTTTTGATTCCATTCTAATAATGCTCTAGTTTCTTTTGTGACTAATTTCATTGGTTGCTTAAAAATATGCTGTTCATTTCCAAATGCTTGGATATTGTCCAGATATCTTTTTGTTGTTGATTTCTAGTTTAATTTTATTACATTTAGAGAAAATACTTTGAGTGATTTAGATTTATGAAAAATGCAATATCTGAAGAGCCAGATTTATTTGAGGGGTTCAGTAGCAGACTGGAGATTACAGAGGAAGGAATCAGTGATCTTGAATATAGATAAATATGGTAATCTGAGCAGCAGAGGGAAAATACCAAAAAAACCCCAAAAACCAGAGCCTTAGGAATTTATGGAATGTATCAAAAGTCTAATATTCATGTCATTGGAGTCTCAGGGGAGGGAGAAAGAAATATTTGTGTGGAAATACTGGCCCCAAACTTCCAAGATCTGGTGAGTGATATAAAGGTACAGATTCAAGAAGCTCAGTGAATACCAATATATATAAAAAAAAACTCATTGTAAATCACTTCTGGACGCGTCAGAATCAAACTCCTGACAAAGATAAGCAAGGATTCTTGAGTAGAGTTAGTGAAAGTGACATGTTGTGTCTGGTAGAACAACGACTTAGATGTCTGCAGAGTTCTCTTGGGGAAGTACGGAGGCCAGAGATGTTGGAACAACATCGTGAAGATGCTTTGAAGAAGGAGTTGTCGATCTAGGCTTTATGATAGGAGTTGTTTTTATAAGCAAAGAAAATTTCTTTCAGGGATGAAGGGGAAAAAATGTCACATCTGTGCTGAAAGAAGTGCTAAAGGAAGTTCTTTAGGCTGAACAGAAATGATACCACATGGAAGCTGAGAATTTCAGAAATGAAGAAGGAGCACCAGAAATAGTAAGGTATTTTGTTTTGTTTTGTAAATATGAAATGCTGTTTAATGCATCTTTGTGTCTTAAAAATATACATAACTGTTTAAGGTAGAAAATTATAACTTTCTTGGCTAGAGTTTTTATTGCCCATAGAAGATTACACACGGCCGAAACATAAAGGGGAGGGTGTAGGGAACTGCCTGGTGGCAAGACTTCTGCATTTACAGTAGCAGTAAAACAGTAACACACAGTGCCCTGTGAAGAGTGGACATGGGCATTGTTACCCCACAGCAGTCACTAGAGAATGAGAAACAAAAATAGGAGGTCCAGCCTCAAGCTAAGAGCTAAATGAAAAAGATTTAAATAGTTAAAAAAAAATAACCCAAAAGAAGACAGAAAAGGAATAATGGAGTAATAGGGGAACAAAATCAGGGAGGACAAATGGGAAAAAAAATAATAAAATGGTAAATGGAAATCCAGCCATGCCAATAATTACATGAAATGCTAATGACACTGAATATACATCAGTTAAAAGAGATTATAGTTTAGGTAAAAAGCAAGAATCGAATGTATGCTGTCTAACAGAACCCTATTTTAGCTCTTAGGACAGAGATAGGCTAACAATTTAAAAACATTTTTAAAGGGTGTGCCATAGAGGCCATGTTCACATCAGACACAGAGACTTCAGACCAAGACTGTTACCAGGGATGGCAAGCAACACGATACCAGGGGCAGTCAACCGAGTAGATGTGACCGTCCTTCGTGTGTAATCACTAAGCCACAGTTATATGAAGAAAACCAAATAGAACTGAAAGAAGAAACAGAGCAATCTGCAGTCATATGGGAAGATCTCAACACTCTTTTCTAGTGATGAGTTGAACAAGGAGACTGAAAAGCAGTAAGCTTGCAGAACCTGGACTGACGCCAGCTCACCTCATTGTCATTTCATCAAAAACAACAGGACGCCCATTACTTTCCTGGGCCTCAGTGTTGATCATTTCTGTTGACCTGAGCTGACTGATGTTCCTGCTGCTTTTCTCTGATCCATCTCCCAGCTGCAGATTTGTAGGTATCAGGGACTGTGCCGAGTTCTCTGAGTGCTTCATGCCAAGCACCGGGATTGGTAGAGAGGAATTATTCAGTACATGTTTTGGCTGGTGCAGCTTTTCAACAAGTAGTAGGAAATAGACCTTCAACTTAGGTCATGTTCAGATTTTCTGAAAAGGAGTGTGAGAAGAATAGACAACTTAAATTCTGCCCTTTATCTCTAATTGGTTTTGTTGGCAGTGGAAGCCACCATTTTTTTTTACACTGTTCAAAGGGTGATGTCTACTTGTTGGAAATTACTGACCTAAGATAAATAGCCTAAGAAACAAATGAAGCCAACGTGTGGGCTCTGTTTCTTCCACAGTGACAATAAATGAGGATGGTACCAACAATAGCTAACTTTTACTGGGTGTTTGTTATAAACCATACCAACTTTCTAATGCTTTGATGCATTCAACTCATTTAGTCCTTTTAACAACTCTGCCTTTATCTACATTTTCCAGATAAAGAAATAGAGGCACTGAGAGGTTAATTAATTAATTTGCAGAAATTGACTCTGCCTGTTAGTGGCTGAGTCAGGACTGAGCTCAGCAGCTTGGTTCTATAGCTTGGGCTGTTGGCCAAGCACTGTGCCTTCATAGGCTGGCAAGGTGGGCTGGCACAGTAAGCAGGCCACAGCCAAACCTGTTTCAAAATGTCCTGGAGCAGGGGACATGGAAACTGAGTGTTCGAGGCCCTGAAGGCTCAGACTAGGGTAGGCATGTTATTACCCATGATTTCTTTCTTTATGTCCCTTCCCAGCTAAGAATGGTTTTACATTTAAAGGGTTTTAAAAAGAATAAGCAGTATTCACAAGAAGACAACATGTGAACCAAAAAATTTTCACTCACCCTTCGCACGTGCACTTGCACACACATACACACACACACTGATGATCTTAGACCCTCATACCTAGAAAGTGCAAGAGGTTATAGGGGAGAGGGTTTGGAGAGAACAAGCAGAAGGCCATGGGAGGTTCTTCTGTGTGGCCTGCTGAAAATCTAGACTTTATCCTCAAGGGAGTTGGCATACAGGCACGAGTTTTAGCCAAGAAGGAACATACCCAGACTTTAACTGTATTTAATAGATGAACAAACGAGAACATTTTGTAGAGCTACCACTATTTAAATACTTATTTAAAAAGAATTGCCTTTTATTTATGATTTTGGTGGTGTTGGGAATAGAACCTGGGCCCTCTCATACCTGGCACACACACTACCACTGAACCATGCTCCTGTCCTGCCTTTTATGTTTAATTCTAAGAATCTCCTGGGTAGTTGGTGAGTCCTTGCTTGAGCTAATGAGGTTGGTTGAGTCTGGAAGCCTTCTTCATGCTGAGCGAGTGCTTGCAAAGGCATCTGCAGCACAGGTAAACTGCTGTTTTCTTAGTGACAGTTCCAAGAGCTTCTTAAAGTAGATAGATAGCTGGGAATCAGGAGTCCTGGGTCCCAGACCCTGCTCTGCTCCTGGCTTATGTCCTCTGGCAGCTCCCTCCAGAGGCTACAGGCCCAGTGGTTAATTGCTTGCCGGCTGCCACCATTCATCTCGCAGTCAGTGGTTTGCAACTTTCTGTGAACTATGGTCACCTGTTGGAATTTCATTAAAGCTCTTCTACAGACCCTGATTTTTAAAACCAGGACTGGGACTTGGGTATTGGCATTATTTTCTTGGACTCACCATTGATTCCAGTGAGCTGGCAGCTTGCGTATCAGCATCATAGGAATTGATAACACAGACTCTGAGCTCATAATCATAATCCTGGCTACTCTGTTGGCCAAATGGAGAAAGCAACTGAGAATCTTGATGCCTCGTATTTTCCATGGTGAAGGGAGTCACGAGCGTCCCTGCATCTTGGGTGGCGTGAGGATTCATGAGGTAGTTTCTGTAAAGCACATGGCTTGGCTCTTTTCACCACTTTTTCTGATTCCTTTTTTTGCCCTGGTGCCCTCTAACTCCTTGTTACAGGTCTTTGGCAAGCGCCTGTCTTTGAGGACAGATACAACTCAGTCATCCTCCAGGGCTGAGATCAGGCCTCCTTTTCTCTACTGAGCCCATCCCTCCCTTTCCCTCCCAAAGTCTAGGTTTTGGGCCCCTTCCATGTTCTAAAAGGACACCACACAGCCTGTCGTTTATCTAGGAACTGTATCACTTTTCAAAGGTGAATACTGGACATGTAAAAAAAAAACCTCAATTCTTTCATTGCTGGTTGCACAGCCAGATTAATACTCGTCCTAGGTAGTTGTGTGTGCGTTCTGTTGACTACAGCAATGGCCTTGTAGGCAGGGACTCCCAAGGAGGTAGGTATCACCATCTAACTGAGCTGGTGACCTGTGCTGGGTTCACAAACTCTGACTACTTCAATAACCACGCAACACACAGAAGTACCTTTTCAAAATCCCAGGATGGTTCTTTCCATTGGAAAGAGAGAGAGAGCCATTGGAATTCTTTATTCTTATATTGGGGACACACTAGGGGAGGTTCCATGGAACATTCTATCCATAACAGGTCAGGGGTAGTATTACAAAGGAACAAGAAGGCAGCCCACTCCTTTGGGTAACACCCACTCCCAAAGCTTTGCTCCTTTGCCGAGTGGAGATGGGGATCCACCTTCTTCCTGGTCAGGGAAGCCAGTCTCCACATCTCCATTACTCAAAGCTAGTGGGTGCTCAGCTCTTATGTGGCAGCTCCTGACAGGTAGGACCCTACTGAAGTAGCCTCCCTCCAGGTGGTACTAACAGGCTCTGCCTTACACAGTCCTTGCTTTTTTTTTTTTTCCTCTCTTCTACAGATGGCCTTGAAGTTGCCTGAGAACAGTAAAAAAATAACAGATCTTGGGGAAGGACCCAGGAAATTAAACTTATGGTGTCTAAATTCACAATCTGTGAGCTGCTTTGCACAGATGAGCACACCTTACCCCACAAACGGCCCTGCTAACTAGTTAGGGGTTCTGATCAACAGTCAAAACAAGCAGAGTCACATTTTTTGGTTGTTGTTTAACATCAGAAGAATCATACCACACAGTTTTCATTAATTTTTTTGTTTTCATGAGAGAAAGGAATGTACATTGAACCTCTTCTGAATTTAGGAAGAATATTTATCAGCCACTATACATTTTTTCTAAGGGCAGTCTCAGTTTCTAACCAGTGATATTACCGGGGAAACAAATAAAATAAGAAGCCAGAGTTGGACATTCCAGGACTGAAGGGTGACTTTCCCTGGACAGAACAATAATCTCTGCATCCAAATATCTTCCCAAATATATTTACAAAGACAGTTTTATGATGCAAAATGGTGTCTACTTCTTTAGCTGTGAGGAAATAAAGAATCTTGGAATAGTTAGAATAGCTTTCCGCTACCCCCTCATGTAATCCTGACTATCCTATAATGTTGGCCCTCTAACCATTGCAGTTTTGCAGATGACAGAATCAAATCATGTGGAAGGTCAATAAACAACTGTGATTATTCAGCGCCTGGTTTTGAACCCAGGTATTTTGTCCCCAGAGCCCACTTTGAACCAGTACATTCACTGCCTCTCCTTTTCTCCATTTCCCAGGATCAGAATGAACACCCTGCGAGATGCAAGGTGTGAGGGCTGCTGGGTCCAGCTGCGCAGCCTGTGCCAGGGTGGGGTGGGGCTGGAATCCAGCCCACACTGCCCACCACTTACCAGATGTGTGTGGCTGTACCTGCTGGGGAAGGAGATCTTTCTCTCCTTTGCACAAGGAAACATCTCCCTTTCTCTCTGAGCTGCTTTCATATTATCCTCTTATGCCTTCTCAGGTCTCTGCCTTTCCCTAAAAAAAGGAGGAGAAAATGACCAAATTCCAGGTGAGTTGGTTTTCATTTCTGTCATTGGACATGTTGCCCTCATTTCTCAGAGAGAAGACATACTTT